CTTCGTGATATCTGTATAGCAGAATATTTCTTCCCATCCATATGCAAATCTAACCTTTTTGATATTTCAACCCTATAAACCCTAAGACAGGATTTCAATAGAAAATGTTTACTAAAGGCTTTCTCCTTTATAATCTATTGATTTTAATATCCTTACTACTCCTGTTGAATGTCAGTTTTACCCTGAAGACTCCCATTGCAAACTTGAACACATTTAATTATTTATGCTATTTGAAATATTAGTGCCGAGAAATGACTAAAAGTTTTTGGTTCTGTAATGGTATGATCTAAAGTTTGATTTTCCTTTGTGAATAACACAAGTAATTTGCTATGGTAATCAAGGACAGATGAATACTTCAGACAACACAATGCAGTTTTAATAGTAATGACATCTATTTTTCATTTTTCCAGCCTCCTTGTATATGTTAAAATATAGCTCATTAGGTACTGCAGGATTTCACAGTCTTTTTTCACAGTGAACAGTTTAGCATTATGTTTTCTTTCTTCTGCCAGACGCCTGAACAAGTAACTGTTGCTTCCACTAGTGACAGTAGGCATTTAGGTAATGTGCATGGTTTGAGTGCAACCGAGAGATTTGCCCCTCAGTGTGGGTCTAGAAGTCTTGTTTGCCTTAGTCATATCACTCATTGTATGAGCAAGACCGAGCAAAGTTTTGGTCTTAAAGAAATTGCCTCTGAGACAACTACTGTTTTTACAGAACACTCGATGTGAAGACATGAAAGGTAAGATTTTGATAGGCAAACCAAAGCAGGGGATTTGAAAGAAACTCAGCAACTGGAAGGTCAGTTCTTCCCCAGAGTCATGTTTTTTCCTCCCAGCACACAGCCAAAGCCATCATGGTTGAGCTTACCCTGCCTGGCCAGGGCATGGGCATGCTTGAACTCCCATCCTTGCCACTTGAGCCTTATCTGGAACATCTTAGTCAGACCTACTTCCACTGGCTTCAGTGGCGTTTTGTATCAGACCCCAGTTTCCCAAGGGAATTAAACCCCTAAGCATAAGTCCCTCCTAGGTCCAGCACTCAAGTGGCATTTGAACATTTTTTCTCCCATGTGCCTTGGTAAAAATTTTCAGAGTTCTGACTGTCTGTATCTTTCTATTTTATTCTGCCCTGTCTCCCTGCCCCAAGCTACCATTTCTCTGCCATTACTTGATCAGTGCAATTGCATGAACCTCTACTAATTGCACTGAATTTCTCTTTCACAAGGGAAGTTTCTACTTTTCTTTTCCCCTATCTTCTGAAATTTTCTACTACCAACCTGAGAGTTGTTCAGAAACTGCCAAGATGTATTTGGCTCTTGTATTTACTCCAGATGGAGCCTTTTGTTTTCATTCATATCTGGCAGTAGGAACTATGGTATCACCAAACACAACTTTTCTCTGAGATTAATTGTTTTGATAGCAGAGACTAACAAAAGAATGGTTCCTTTTGTGTATGATTTTTAAGTTATTTCTGATGGCAGATAACATAGTCTAGCCTGTATCTTAAAAGTTCAACCAGGCTCACAATAACCATCAATAGTTGGATTTTTCTGGTTTATATCCCATCAGGAATTATCGTCTGGATATGCATCCTTTAGTAGCCCAGGACTGTTGTCTAAAAGTAAAGTAAGAAAATCTCTGGAATGAAATCTCTGGTTCTAAATTGATCAGGGTAAATGTAGCAACTCATCTCCACTGTATCTGTCCTGTATGCATTAGATGTTTGTAACCAGTTTTGGTTTCACAGAAACATTGAGAACCAGTCTAAAAGCTCTAAATAGGCAGAAATGCTGTCACTAGTTTCATTGCACATGACTGGGTCAAGCCAAATTGCTGCTCTGGTCTGTGTTAGAGGGGAGGGCAGTGTGCTATGCTTCTTGTAACATATGGGTATAGGTCAGGAATCTAACACCATACCCAGCTCTGCCACTGGGCCAGCTTTCAGGCCCAGAGTATTCAAGGCCCTGAATTAATGCTGCACTACATGGATTAACCCTCAGGGTATCAAATCTCTTACAGGGCTGAGCCGTGCATCTCTTGACTTCTTATTTTTCTCCATCTGCAAAACCAGACTGTTCCTTTTCCTCCTTTCCATTGTACTTTGGAATATCCATTTGGAAACTTAGGGCAATATGATAGCCTGTAAATGATCTCTCAGATTAGACACTATGGTTCTGGTTCTTCTTCCTGCATCCTACATGCATTCATGCATGTCACTTCTTTGCTTCTATTAATTTCACTGGCATCCTTTTAGGCAATGGATTGAAGACAAAAAATATTCGCCTGACTTACTTTAGCTAAGAGGCTTCACATTTAATGGATTTGCTGTTCTTTAATGTCCCAGGTCACTCCTTGAGATCAGTGAATGCTGAATTCCTTATCGTCCTTAAATGTTATCTGAAGTCATGTTGTTATTTTGCCTTTAGTGAGTCCCTTTGCTCTCTGGCTTTGGAACCTGCTGCCAAATGAAGTAAAGAAAGCTCTGACTGTGGGGATTTCTAAATCCAAAGTTAAAAGTTATTTGTTCTATTTAGCATTTTTAAAATGATTCTTTTAGGAATTGTATGTGCCTCTAAGCTAATTAACTCTTAATGAGCGCAAAATGCCCCGGGATGCAGATTTGGAGGGTACGCTAGAAATGCAGGCATGGATTGGACTGCAATACTGCAGGAGACGAAATTTATGATTTGATTCTTTTTTTAAAATGTTGCAGATAGTTTTATTGAGATACTCTTCTTTCTTTCTTTCTTTCTTTCTAGTCTAGATAAAGCTGATCAGATTTTCAGTCCACCATATGGGGCCTGGTTATATCAGTCCTGCAAATACACTTTAGTTTTCCGTTATGGATGAAGTCACTCTTCAGTAGGGAAAACAAGTTTAGAAACAAACTTTCATATTATGAAAGACAGGCAGTGTTCCAGCGCTGAGCACTTAACCAGAGCATCAGGAAATCAGAACACCTGGCTATGCCCAGCTCCGTGCTATTCCCCTGGACCAGTCCCTCACCCTTTTAGTGCCTTCACTCATTCATCTGTAAAGCAACTATAATTGCATTTATATCACAAGGGTGCCTTGATGCTTGACAAATGAGAATTGACCCAAAATTCATCCTTCAGAAGCAATACCTTGCTCACATGGTGGTTGTGGACAATTAGATTAGAAGAGGTATAAATGCAGTCAATGTGAAATTCCATTTAGGAACTGTCAAACTGTTCTTGATATTTTTTCTTAGTTTTTCTCTAATTCTAATGTACAATTTTTGCATGCATCTCCCAGAAAGGGTTTATATGCCTCTTTCCTTCTTTTGTAACAAGCCAGCATATTTTATTCCATGTTATATTACACTGTCTTTTTGGGTAAATGGTTTGTTCCCAGAGCAACACCTTGGAAAGCTGCATTTAGCAAAACAAAGAAAAATTATTGTGTCAAAGAAATTCTATCCTCTATGTATTTGAGCAAATTGCAATCACTTACAAGGATTGCACATGGAAAAAATATTACAGGTTTTATGGAAAGCAGGTTGCCTAATCATTGTTATGTTTTATTTAATTAGATTTTTTATATATGTTATAATAACGTTTAAAAATTAAGCTGACTTTCTGCAACAAACTGTAGAAACATATGGTGTACAGCCTGAAGAGGCTGTCAGTAGCAGTAGTATTACTGATAATATTTGTGAATTAAAATCTGCTTTCCTCTGAAAAATAGCTGTGTGTTCTCCCAATTTAAAATACTGTGTTTTCGCCAACATATTTTCATCACCATTAACAGTTTGGGGAGAAAAAGCACGGATATGATCTTCTTAAATACATTTCCTTACTTCCGCATGGCTGTGGATTTTTCAGGGTGAGGAAGGCTGAATATCAGACTCAACCTCTCCTCCATCTGTGCCATGAACCCCCTTAAAGAAACCAGATAAATTCAAGAGGGCCTGTTTTACCAGGACCTCCCCCCAAGGTAGCTTAGCCCAATACCAGGAGAAAAATGGGAATTGTTGCTTTGTCAAGCCATTTTTCCTAACAAAGACGCAATCACTCAGGGGCTAACCAGATTAGAGGATGCCAGGAGGCCTCCTGTCAGCACCCCAGAGTAAGCTCCAGCCCCCAGGAACTGCTCCGGGAAGGATTTGTAGGTACATCTTGGTTTCCCCCAAGAAAACATATGGCTCAAAAAAAAAAAACCAAACCTTTGACTCTTTACTTTTTTATGTTCAGACTTGCCAAGCACTTTAAGAAGAACTCATGCTCACAAAGAACATTCCTCTAACTTATCTCTAATGTATGCTTGAAAGCCTCTGTGCCAAACAAAGTGCAGAGATTAAGTAAATGAAAAGATACTCAACGTTGCAGCAGGGAAATGGTCCAAGTAGTGGTGTTCTCAGGAGCACCAGAGCTGGTTTAGGTTCACACTCATCCATACGCAGTCTGCAGAATTCACTTTTTAGACCTTTTACTCTGCTTGGCTTCAGTAACCAGCTTCCCAAGGCTCTCCCTGGTGACGGGACGCACTCAGACCTGAGGGTTCAGACCACACAGTCTCTAGAGCCCAGTCCATGGGAAAATTTGACCTTTCAACAGAGCTGCTGTGCTCAGCAGGAGACCTGGCAGACCATTCCCTCAGCACTACTGCCCGTTAGTGAAAGAGTGCAAGTAACATCTTTGGTAGGATGTGCAAGCAGAGGTTCTCCTTCCCTTCCTCCCAATGGCTGTCAAGGTGGAAGCCAGACAGACCATCATACTCTTCTGACAGCATTAATCATAGCCCAGATTCCTGAGCTGATTGTTTTACCTCAGTAGCTGCAAGTCATTAAAAGTTCACCTTGAATGCAGAAATAGGTGGTCTTTACGAATAACCCAGGCCTCAGCTCAGCTCTCAGGCTTCCGTGGGATAATGGAGATTTTCAGTGGGCTCATGGAAAGCCCAGGTGACTAATCTTTAGAAACGTCCAGGTTCCTAAATCAAAGAAGTGAAAAAATTCTTTCTGACTGTGTCTTTCAGGATTTTGCCGACTCCGTATACCAAATGGTTGCACAGAAGTTCCAGGAGCTGACAGACAATTTCACTTCCATGCATGCACGCCACAAAACTCTTGCAGGCATTGTGATGACCAAAGGTAAGATATCCTCTCATTTGTTTTCCTCTGGCATTTTTCATGACTAAGTAATACATTATTTACCTGGTCCACAGTATTGAAGAATGCCTTTGCTCTCACACAGAAAAATTAATAGTAATGCAGAGAAAAGAAGCATTAAATATTTATACCTCAAATAAGTTCACACACAAAATGTTGGCAACAGAGGTAAAGATTTATTCATAAATATGTCCCTACATTGCTTTGTTTACAGGACAAAATGCAGACATGTCTGATTTTGCATTTTCTAATAGAAGGAGGTTTTTTAGTTATCAATCAGTTGTATTATTTATTAATTAATTTTTTAGATCTTGAAACACCAAGTTATTGTTGTGCAAGGCTACCATAAACCTTGTTTTAGACTGACAACAAAAGCAAATCTCAGCCCATTTCCTTTCCAATCAAAAGAAACAAACCCAGAGCATGGGTAGTTTTAATTCTGCTTTGCTCTAACTATGGGAAATACTTATCAGCAGGGCCAAAATTTGATATTCACTCCTGTTAGGACTTAGCTGATGGGCACATACTATACAGAGATCTTCAGCCATTTGATGAAACTGTTGCATAGATGGTCTGTCTTTCTTTGTGAGCATACCTCAGTTGGGGCAACTCAGTATTTACGAGGATGTTGGCAGTGGAGATGCTGCCATAAACTTCATTCTCACTTAGATGTGAGGAACAGTGGATTGAGTTTAAAAATGAGAGGATAAGCTCAGAGGGGAAAGGCATGTATAATTCATCCAGGCTTCTCTTACTCTTTCCTTTCAACAATTACATTAACTAGATTCAACAGGGACAGTTGTGAATATTGCAAAGCAGCAGGATGGAGACAGGATTATCTGCTGGATCTTTTCCAACCACAGAACCTACGTACAGCTAAAGGTTCTGTGCAGTTATTTTCCTCCTTTTTGATGTGAAAAGTGTAAGCAATCATCTCCTGAAATTAGAAGTAGAGAAGTTGACCTAAAAGTCTTTTAGACTTATGGTTGAAACTGAACTGCTCCTCAGCTAAATTTGTTATCATTTTGCTTAATCTGCTTTGGTTAGGGTTTTTTTTATTACTTTAGGATCTGGAATAATGTATGAGTCTTCCATTTTTTAAGTGCTGCACAGACACAGTGTTGTACAAACACAAAACATGGTTTACAAGTCCTATAGACCACAGGAGACATTCAGTACCAAGAGGAATGAAAGGGAGAGTGTGATCGACTTTGGGATGTGGAAGATGCACACCAGACCCAGCATACCAACTGCCTTATCATAGTCAGATTTCTGGACTGTGGCACTCATCATATTTAAACAAGGTGGTGTAATTTGTTTAGAGGAGCTCTTTCCAAGCAGGACCACAAGGAAGAATGTTTAAATATGTCTTTTACGAGAAGCTAAGTTACAGGAGCCAAGAATTGTTGCTTTAACCACTTTTTGAGAGGAGGCTGTACACAGCTTAGTGTCCCTGTTCAGTTTTCTTACACTCAGTGTGTATTTTGCCTGTAAGAATTTCATCCCATTCTACCTTGCCAAAGTACTACTCCTGCATTCTTTAGCCCAGGCCTAGACCTGCTTTAAAAAGCATGATGGAGCCAATGCTATATGACCAAAGAAGCAGTTTAAAACCCTACACCATATGGGAAGACAAGTCACCTAAAGGAGTCATAGCTTCCAAACCTGTGGCTGCTGAGTGTGTGCAGTGCTAGGGGAGGGAAGGGGTACATCCACACCCTCGCTAGCCTTGCTGGGCAATTGGGGCTGTCTGTGTCTCTTCTTTGAGGAAGGGGTGAAAATGTCCTCCCACTGTTTTTTTTTATGAGTGTCATGCCCTTAGTGGCATTTTACATATTTGTATTTCATATTTCATCTTTCTCAGCATTAAGACAAAGTATAATTTTACTTACGTTCACAAACCATTTCCCTCAAGGCTTCTTTTTTAAGTCTGAATTCCTTTTTATGAATTCCTTCGATCTGTCAGCCATCCAACTTGTCAATATCTTACTGATTTTGTGGAGCCTAGGAAAGAAACTCACAGCTATGAAGTGATTCACAGAAGATGCAAAGCTAAAAACAGCCTTATCTTGGTACATTTTCCAGGACGATTTGAGTTCTTTCCAGCACAAGAATTTTTGCCGACCATGGCAAGACAAATCATTTGCCATTTGTGTCAATATTTTCTGTACTAAAGTTGTAGATTTGTGGTCTTTTCCCCACTGTCATTCCCAGAGGTAGCAAGGATCTTGACACACTGTATTCAAAAATGGCACAGACAGGTTTTCCCCATCAAACACAAATAAATACCAATTTCCTGTGTTTTTAGCATAGAATTTGACAGAAAAATCTTAGATATCTGCAAACAATTTACTAATGAGATCAACAAAACCAAATCTAGTAACGTCTTGTTCATTTGGTACCATAGACACCCGTAACAAACAAAAATTAATTTGTTTTTACCTTCGTTTCAATTTAATGTCATCCTGACTAGAAATAAATTTATCTGTGCTTGTACAGTTTTCAGACAAAGCTGGTAAAAAGCACAATGTGATTCAGTGATAACTGCTGTTAAGATAATACAAAATCTCTACAGACGAAACAGAAGTGTGCTAGATTGGTTTTCTTTTCCTGAACTTTGACATTTTTTTCTGCCATTTCAGTTTCCCAGGGAAACCAGAGAGAGTTACATTTGGGCACTGTAATTGACTTATGCTGTAGCACCCAGGGCAAATTCCAAAGTATGACAAAGAAAAAAATGTGGAAAATGATGTTATTGACTGACTGTGAATGTTCCACAGTAATAAATTGCTAGTCAGAAAAACAGGCAGTCCAATGTATTTAGATACGCTTTGCTCTGAATTGTAATGAAAAGTTAAAATCTCAATGTATTTTTGTGAAAGTAAGTTTTCAAATCATTTGATTAGTAGACATCAAGATAACCTTGAAAAAATCTGCCTAGGTAGGAACAAATTATCACACTAGATACCAGCTGATGTGATGTTATCTGATGTAATATAATAATTTAATATAATAATAATTTGAAAACTAACATAACAGATCTTGAACTAAATGTTTCAAAAGATGGAATAGTTGAAGTAAATTATTTAACACTTCTCCAGTTATAATGTATTTGAAATCTGCCAGTCCTCTAACACATTCGGAGAAGATTGTTCTATCAAAAATTTCTTTATTGACTCTAGCAAAAATTGTTCAACAAGTAAGACATTGCATTCAAATCTTCCATATACAGCAAGCCACATTCCCACAGAATATCTTGAAGTAGAACAATAAGTATACTTGTTATTGTAGCATAGTGTTAATATGAGGACCTAAGTTCTATTGCATACTGACTATCCACAGTAGTTCTCTTGACTTCTGTGAAGATATGATTGGTTTATATATGGTAAATTAAGAACATCAATTCACTTGTGGAAAAGACAGTCTGGATAACATCATGTCAAACACAAACCATCACCTCAGAACATGCATATCCAGGCATCTAATGCATGGAGTTAACTTTCCTCATAGTGTTTGCATTTGCGGCTAAAACATGGTTGATAATGCCAATGTTTTGGCTATTGCTGGACAATGCCTGCAAAGTGTCGAGACTTTCTCTCTCTCTCCCCCATCTCCATCCCCAACCAGTAGGCTGGGGGTGGGCAAGAGGCT